TAATGAAAAAATACTTTATTATAGTGTTTTGAAAAGCTCTCAAGATAAGCTACAAAAATATGCAATAAAAAGTAGGCAGCTCTATTAAAAAAATTGAAGGTGATTTTGCTTTATTATGGAAAAAAAATGTTTGGTCAATTTTTATTATTGCAATTTGTTGCCGGTTAGAAACTGATAAATTTCTGTTTATGACTTTTTTATGTCAGATTATTGTAAGTGCCTTAAAAATCGTGGCGACCGTTATTACGAGGACCACCCTGTATAAGGCGCGTTCCACTTAACGACCGCAATGCTCGCGAGCATTATCTGTCTTTGTTTAACTTTCGGTGAACAACAAAGATGAAATGATACGACTGATGCCCCACCAGCCATAGAAGAAGAAAAAGAAGATGATGAAATGATACCGTGAGCGTTAATGGAAAGGGGTAAAATAGAAGATATATAAAGAGTGTAAATTCACGATCAAGAACAGTCCGTTTATTATTCTGGTGTGTACGATTCTGTTCAAACTCAGTGAGTCGCAGTCCGTCGGTCCTTGACGACAATTCGAGCTGGGCCGATACTCGCCAGGTATATCTTTCGCGCTGCTGTTTCTCATCTCGCTCGTATCGCGTACGCTTTATTTCGAGTTTCTCACTGAATTTGGCGAGATACTACCGTGTCTCTTGATACCAAGAAAGATGAAATAAAGTAATACAATTTAGTATATTTTTTATTTGTATCTTTTTTATTTTCATTTATGGTGTATCAAGGGTCCTCTGTGATATTGAGAATTTGCAGAGCTACTAGTTAAAAGATACTGGAAAACCATAAGCTCGACTATAAGACACTTTTGACGGTTGAAGAAAGCTAGAATAGGCTGAAAATATATGTGTAATAGAAGTCTGTGAAGTCTGATAAAAGTCTGTGTCTCTAACTGATTGCAAGATTGTATATACGATATATTATTCTCTTTGAAATGTTACGATTTTTCAGGAGAGAAAAATATCGCTGCGAATCGCAAACATGACGAATACATATGAGAATAAGCCGTTTTATTACTCTCTGAGCAACGACAGGCAGGAAGATGAGGTTAGTATTTCTATTGGAATTCTTTTTTTTTCTAAATCTTTGATTTGTTTGCGATAAGTAAACAAATTTTGGTGACTTACAATTAATCAAAGACTAAAATTACATGAAGACTAAAAAATTACATGATTTCTCGTAGAAACTGTTGGAACCGATCAGATACTATCTTCAAATTCCTGGAAAACAGATAACTGTGAAATTAGCCCACGCTTTTAATTATTGGCTAAAAATATCGCCCGACAGAATACAAGCAATCAACGAAATAATAATCATGCTCCCCAACTCACTCATTATGTAAGTTTGCATTTTGCTGTATCAGTATATATATATTGTGACGTGACGTTTTTGGGACGTCCGTCACAAGGGTCGAACGACCCGATCGGGGGCGGTTTTTCGGGGGCCTGCGTCCTCTCTATTTAGGGAGAGAGCGGCCCGTTTTCAATTTTGTGGCTTTAGATCGTAATTTATTAGGTGTACAAATAAATAATCCAAATTTGTCAACAAAATTCAAGGTTTATTTTAAAAGAAAGGGAAACAAATGTTTCTATCAAAGAGTATACGCCGTTGCTTTTTATAACTTTAAGCCATCTTTTAGGCAGCTGATAAATTCCATTTCGGAAAAATGCTGTGTCTTTGGACATGATAAAATCGCCAAGTCATTTTTGTATCTCATCCACTGATTGGGCATTGTTTATCGATCAGACTATAATCGCCGCTTCCGTATCGTCTAAACCAAAATGCGCATCGTACGATATAACACCTTCTCCGAGAAAGGAACAAATCGATTTGCATGCTTTTGCAGCATTTTTTCCTTGTTGGAGTTCGTAAAGAGTACAGTGTCGGACATGTACTTTATCTGTTGCCATTTTTGATTCTACTGAATAAACTGAATATTTTTGAAAGTTATGTTGGTACTTACGCCAAACTAAATGTTATTTTTAATAGCTATATGTTAATATTACATAAAAGCGGGAAGATCACTTGATTTTAAAATTAATTTTTTAACTGCTTAAAGAAATTTTGATTATTTATTTGTACACCTAATAATTTGATTAATTTATAGCCTAAAGCCGAAAGCCAAATAACATTCATTATTGCCAAAAACTAAAAAGTTTTAAGTCTTTCGTAAAGCTAAAATAACATTTAAATAAGAAAACTGGAAGATAAGAGCAATTTGAAATTTGACTGCAACTGTAAATGTTGTGTATATCAAGTTTTTAAATTCTAATTTAATTTTTATATATTGATATCTATACCAAAGATGGACCAAAAGACGATCCAAAACGTACATTTTTAATGCACATGTTCGATATCTGTGGCTTGGCTTTTATCTGTTAGTTTTTCCACTTAATTGTTCTCACTCTGAGCCTATTGCTGTTATTATCAAAATTGAAACAAAACACTGATGTGTCATCACTAATGTTCTATTTCAGTATGTAATCCTTATGTTTTCACATTATATATTTTTATAAGATCACAATTTATTTTTTTTTTTACAGATTTGATGATATCCAAGTTAATTCCATTTTGCGAGGAGGTATTTCTACCGCTCATTCTGTTTATGGAATTGCTAGGTCACTAAACGCTGCACATTATACATTAATAATCGCATTGGAAAGAATTGCTAATTTGCATCCTGCAGTAAGTAATCACATTATACTTATAAAAAAAAAAGTAAGTAAGCAATATACTTTAATCACATTATGCATTATTTTAGTCACAAAAAAGGTTGAAAATAAGAGATCTCTTATTCTCTTTTCTAAGTGCTTATATAATATTTTTACAAGATACAAAATTCAAATGCACTCCTTCAATTATGTCCATGACATCATACATACTTAAATAAACTGAACAGAATTTAGTTAATTTTTTGTTATAGTATAGGAAAAGTAAGAGTTACTGCTAAAACTTGACTAAAGGAAAAAACATTTTAAAAAATACATGTTTTATATGTCCTTAATAATACATGTTTTATGTTTCCTTAAAAATACATGTTTTATGATCTTCTAATATATGTATACATATATACAACATAAAGCTCATTAAAACTCATTAAAATTGTAAAAGGTTAGCTTCATATTTGCTTGTTAGATAAAATATAACTTGTGCTGTATTATTGTACTAACTGCGTTTTTTTTTTTCAGGCGACAAAAGTATATATGGAACAAATGTTGGAAGCTTTTAGAGCTCAAGGAATGGAAATTTTTTGGCGGGAAAATCTTATTTGTCCAAGTGAGGCAGAGTATAGAACTATGGCAATAAAAAGTCAATATTAATACTTATATATATATTTTTTTGTGAAATTAAAAAAATTACATATGAAAAAAATTGAAATATCAACTAATTTTGCAGAGATTGGAAGTTTCTTTAATTTAATGGTCAAATTAATGAAACTCTTCTCTATTTATGAAGAGGACTTATCATCGCTAGGTATTATTTTGGGTTTACACTTCCAAATACGCAATGATTATGGCAATTTGAATGGCAATAAGGTGAGTAATAATATATCTGCGACATTACACATAATACACAAATAAACTGAAAAAAATTAAAGTAATTTTTTGTTGTAGTATACCGAAAATAAGAGTTATTGCGATGATTTGAGTGAAGGGAAATTCAGCTTTCCCATTGTTCATGCGCTTACAACGAATCCTGATGATAGGCAAATAATATGTATCCTTTAGACAATACTTTTATATAATACTTTTTTTTCATTTACAACAAAAATATTTTTGTTAATTAATACACTTTATTTACTAAAGAAATGTAAACGGCCTCACATATCATACATATACAAAAGACATTTTCAGAAACTTTATTATATATAGATTTCCTTAATAATGCCTAATAAAGATATTCTAAAACAACGAACCAAAGAAATCGAAGTGAAACATCATTGCATTGAATTGTTGGAGAAATTTGGCTCTTTCAAGTACACAAAAAGTGTACTTGAAGAGTTGGACATGAAAGCGAGAGCTGAGATTGAACGTTTAGGAGGCAACCCGCTTTTGATAAAACTTTTAGACGAGCTCAAGAATTTGAATTATTGGGACTAAAGAAGCACCAAAGATCTTTTAACTGGAACATTTTAAAGTTGACTGGCATCATACAGCCCGCTAAGACATGTTACAACAAGTTACAACAACATACGAATAGTAGTTATTATTGCATATATAACTTATCAAATATTTTTATTGATTTGGGTAAGATTATTAATTTACAGATAAATACACTTCAATTAAATGCTTATTATTTATATAATCTTGTTTATTAATAATTGTTTGTTATACAAATAACTTATAGGAGACGTTTGTAAGAAGATGTCCAAGAATCTGGTATCCAGCAACCACAGATTGTTAGAATTTTTAATGTAAATTCTAATACGCGCATTGTAACTTTGAGTTATTCTTACTGTCTATTTTTCAAATATGATGAAAAATAAATTATTCAACTTACGACGATCTTTTATTACAAATTTTATTAATAAATAGTTATCTGCCCCACTTTGTGTTTAAATTAAAAATTGAAACATTTAATCGTTAGTCAATTTTATTTAACACGTCTTTAATTGCTGTGATGTTAGTATTGTTTTTATATAGTAGTATAACTAGCTATAGAATCTTCTAAGAGACTGAGGAATGTTTTTAATTTCGCGGTTTCTCGACAAAGCCTTCTTTGATAACAACTTTGATTATTTAGGCTGCAATTGTGTTTCTTGGATATAATATTCTCATACATTAATCATAAAAAATAAAGTTCTCTCAAATATTGGTTTTACGACATAAAATTTTGTAAAAATAAAATCATTTAAAATGATATCTTAATAAGTGGAATCAGAGAGAATAAAAATATTTGATCATTTAAAATAATTACATCATTTATATGAGATTATATCCATAGCTTATCTCTTCTTCTTCTTTATGACCACTTAAGTTTTCTACTTGAAAATTTATCCATAAGTCAGTTAGTATCTGCTGCCTGCAATAATAGTAGTATTTATATTCCCCTACTGTTACTTTTATGTTTTTGTCACTTAATCCTGCATCTGTTGAAGTATATTATAAGCAGAATATGATGTCTTGAGCAACTGCAATAAGTAAATTCGCTTATTATGTATTCCCATGATAAATTAATAATCTATTTCTTATATATATATATATATATATATATATATATATATATATATATATTATATGTTCGACTT